AGTTGCTCACCACTACTCCTTTGTCCGAAAAGACACATTCATACTGGGGCCAAATTGAATCACGGTCACTGATGTAACTCACTTGATGTAACTCGTTTTGCAATATATCAATTTGATGTGGACAAAAAATATTAATGGCCGACATGATATTATATATATACGTGGTGTTCATGCATCAGTCAACGAAAATAGACGAAGGAATAATAAACAAGACGCAGCCAATATTTTGTAGGGCTACTAATGAATACGCGTTTATCCATGCATATACGTACGTGCATGCATACAATTATTGAATTTTTGGACTATTTCATAATTTATAATATATATATATATATATATATATATATATACATATATATTATCTTTTGTCATTTGGAATAAATTGATTGAAATTTGCAATCGAGTCCGTAACAATGACCATGTCGTGTCAATTAAATTAATGATATAGCACAATATGACTCATTAGGATTGATTTGTCTGTTAATTGATTTATATACTTATAGAAATTAATTATTCTTCTTAGCAGGGCTGGTCCGGCGTATTCGGAGGCCCGGGGCGAGAATATAATTTTTCTATAGTTCGGGGGCAACGTCCGGATTTGTTTTTCCCGTCATCTTAGGCTTAATGAAATAATATAAATAAATAATTTATTAACAGAAACCTCATAAATAGAAGTCTGAAAATATTCATGTCTAGATAAACTTTTGTATAAAGCAAATGTTAGAATAAAAAAATATTAAATTTCAAATATGTATTTAAAATAAATTTATAAAAAAGAAAAAAAAATAAAAGAGTAAAAAAGAAATTTGAAAAAAAATAGAAGAATAATTTTTTTTTAAACAATAAAATATTTTTTACACATAAAATATATATAATATATATATTAAAAAATTAAAATTTTGGGCCCCTTATGACATTGGGCCCTAGGCATGGGCCCTGCTCGTCCCACCCCAGGGCCGGCCCTGCTTCTTAGTTGTAACGTTTTACTTATGGCAACGAATATATGCAAGACGAAAATTACTAAGTACAAGACCTTACTTCATGCAATACCAAAATATAAATAAACTTACTAAGATCAAGACTGGAAATTACAAATATAACCCCAATATTAATTTAGATATTATTAATTCAAATTAGGTTAATTGCTATTGCAAGACCAAAAAAAACAAAACAAAAAAAAAAGGAATTAAAAAAAAAAAGGAAAAAACGAGAAGGAACTCACTCCCCCAACAACACCCCAATATCTTCTTCTTCACTCTTTTTTTCCACAAAAAAAATCTTCCATATTCTCCAAAACCCTCAAATCTTACTAAAACTTGAAAAGAAGGACATTATGGATACACAAGACATAAATATGGAGGATTCTAAGGTCGAAGAACACAAAG